GCCCTCTTCAGTTTCAGCAAGCAGGGTTGTATCATCTGCATATGCAGATTGTTTGATGGATCTTCCACCAGTCCTGATGCTATACTTCTCCTAGTAGAGCCCAGCCTCCCGAATAATCTGTTCTGCATATAGGTTGAAAAGGTATGGAGATAGGACACATCCCTGGCCTACACCTTTCCCAAGTTTGAACCATGCAGTGTTTTGTTGCTCTGTTCTGACGATTCCCTCATGGTCCAAGTATACGATTCACATTAGCATGATCAAGTATTCTGGGATTCCCATTCTTTTCAGAGTCAGACATGGTATGTTGCGATCCACACAGTCAAATTCCTTCACATAATCAATGAAACACAAATAGACATTCCTCTGGTACTCCCTTTAAGATCAGATCCATCTAACATTAGCTACAATATCCCCAGTACCATGACCCCTTCTAAACCAACTTGCACTTCTGGCAGTTCTCTGTTGATGTGCTGTTCATTTTTGGATAATCTTCAGTAGAATCTTGCTTGCATGTGATATCAAGGATATTGTTTGATAATTTCCACACTCTGTTGGGTCACCTTTCTCTGGAATGGGAACAAATATAGATCTCTTCCAGTCAGTTGGCCATGTGGTTGTCCTCCAGATTTCTTAGCACAGCTTGGTGGTCACATCTAGGGTAGCATCTGTTAGTTAAAATATGTCAATTGGCCATATTTTTTTAAGAAATAAAAGATTATTTCTATCTGTGTGTAAGCCATCCTTTAGCATTTTCTATCAGTGGTCTTTTTGTCCTTTTATTGACAGTCATCATTACTGTCTTTTTTTTTTTTACCGACTAATGCCCTCAGCATAATTTGTTCTAGATTCAGTAACATGTATTGTGCAGTATTTCATCAATTATTGATGGTTTTTCAGTGATGCATAATAACACCAGTGTGTAAATGGACCATAGTTGTCTTAGTCATTCATTTGTTGATAGACACTTGTTTGGTTCTAACCATTTGTTATTGTAAACAATACTGGAGTAAATATTGGTGTACATACACATGTTAGGTTTTGTCAGTATTCTTTTCTTTGGTATATACAGTAATAGTGAGATGTGGTATTTCTATTTCCAGCTTTCTAAGGAAGTACCAAATTGCTTTCCATAGTGGATGCACCATTTTATATTCCCTTCAGCAGTGTATGAGAGTTCTAGTCTCAACACTTCCACTTCATCATTTATTGTTTATCTTTTGGCATAGTCCTTATGTTAGGAAACTGCTGCTAACTCATAAGCCATCCTTCTCTGGTGGTTTGAATCTACCTACTGCTTAACACGAGAAAGATGGGAAATCTCTCATGCAATTTACAACCTCATAAATGCAACAGAAGATCAGCTTTGGGTCACTTTCAACTCATGCCAGTGCATGTGAGAGAGAACGTTGTATGTATATATCTTTTGTCTTTATGCTATTTCCATGAGGTAGGGCACACATACGTATATGGTTCAAATCCACTACCTGCTCTGCAGCATGAAGTTGGACACTCTCTTCCTGTGTAATTTTTAGGCTCTGAAAACCTACTGGAGTGCGAGCTATGAGTCAACTCTAACCAGATAACACATAGTAACAACAATTTTGTAAGTCATAAAAAAGAACAATGAAGTAAGTGACTGGCAGCTGCTCTGTCGGAGAAAGATGGGCAGTCTCTTCCATAAACAGTGATAGCCTCAGAAACCCTATGGTAGGCTCACCATAAATGAAATCAATTGGATAGTAGGATATGTTGTTGGTTTGATGTTTAGTTGATGGGTTAACATAATGGGCCAAAACGGAGAGGGGAGAACTTTACAATAAAGTAAATGGCTTGTCAAACTTGTATCTGAGATTAGTAACTAGTAATGGAAGGAGTCCAGACCTATATAGTCTGATTCCATATCGCACACCTCTAAATACTCACTTAGCACTTGTACCAAGCTCAACAACGAAGGGGGGCAAAGGATCAGTGTAACGTTTTCAGTCCAAAAATAGGGACATGATAACAGGCTTTTGCAGTAAGGGAGAGAATTTAGCTCAGAACAGGTGGAAGGGCATGTTTCTCAGTGAAACATTTTGGTCTTAAAGTATGAGAGAAGTTAGCCTAAGGCCTACGCGCTATTCTGAAATCAATAACATGATAAGTCCTTTGGGATTGTGGAAGCTAAAAGAGGTGAAAGAAAAGAAGAAATGTGTAATCAAAAAACTAAAATACTGCAGATGCCTTGGGGAAACGACAGCGTTCAGGCCTGATTGTTATAGGAGAACACTCGGATTGAGCCTGGAAGGATAGAGAGATTACAAGGAATCTCTGTGCTTTATATTGAACGAGTTAGTGTTAAAATATTATACTTATGTTGGTGTTATGAGTTGGTGTTAAAATATTATAATTATGACTCCAGTAGAAGTATAGGGGATAGACTAAAAGAAATGAGTGACCATTTGCGAAGCTGTTACATTATTCAAGTTGGAAAATTATAAAGGTCTGATATTAATGAATGGAAAATTAAGAAGGATAGATTAAGAATTTGTATGTATGTTGTGAACCCTCGGGTCAGGACTGACTCATAGCTGACCTTCCAATAAGTTTCTATGGGCCTTTAATCATTCTGGAGGAGGCTGCCTATTTTCTCCTGTGGAATGACAGGTGGATTTGAACTGTGAGATTTCAGGTTGGTAACACAGCTTCTTTCCACTAAGCCAGCAGGCACTGCTCAGTGACGATCTAGAAAAGAAAATTTAATGAATTTAGATATCAAGTAGAATGTGAATTTTGAGTGAGAAGAGAGTAATCTTGAAAGATTTACCAGATATTACACAAAAGACTTAGAAGTTGCACAATGACACCATTTACCTCATCATATAAGTCAAGAAGACTAAATTATCTTAGAGAGAGAATAAGACATTTAGGTTTCTATCCAAGGATTTTTCTAGAGATTGCAGGCATCAATCAGGTAGCTGAATATGTAGATCTTCATTTCAGTACTCAGTTATAAACTGGAATGATAAGCCTTTTTCTTAAAGATGAGAAAATGAATGAGAGAAGTTGTATGCAATAATAATGAGGGTAACTATGTAGTAAATGTGAAAAATTAAATGAAATGTATGAATATGAACATAGTAGGCATATGTGAGATGAGATGGATGGACTAGCATTGACCACTTTGAATCAGATAATCACGTGGTATACTATGCTGGGAATGAAAATTGGGAGAATAGTGTTGCATTCATAGTCAAAAAGTCTATTTCAAGTTCTATCCTGAAATCACAATGTTGCGAGTGATTGTTGTGATGCTGTGATAGGGTATTATTCATATGCATATAAGGAAGACCTGTTAATAGGACTATTATATAAATATGTGCATCGACATCTTAAGTAAAAGAGGGAAAAATAGAAATTTTTTACCAAATCTTGCAATCTGAAATTGACCATACATCAAGGTGTATTAATGATAACCGGTGACTGGAATGCAAAAGTTGGAAACATTGACGAATGAATGGTAGTAAAAAAATTCAGGCTTGATGATAGAAATAAGGCTGTATATAGACTAATCGAATTTTATATTTTCAATGATTTATTAATTTCAAATATCTTTTTAAAAAGACATAAATGGTGACTTTACATGTGGATCTCACCTAATAGGCTTCATAGAAATCAGATTACCTAACCTATATCTGTGAAAGGAATCATTGGAGAAGCTCAGTTATCATCAGTCAAAATTAGGCCAGTGGTGGACTATGGGTCAGACCATCAATTGATTACTCATGTAATTCATCTAACTCAAGTTCAAATTGAAACCAAAGAAAATTACAACAAGTCCATGAGAAGCAAAATATTTTCTTGTATCTATTTCATGTGAATTCAAAATCATCTTAGGAATAGATCTGGAAGCATTGAAGACCAGTAAATGAAGACCAGACAAGTTTTGGGTGGATATCATCCATAAAGAAGGCAAAAGATCATAATAAAGACAGAGAAGACTGGAAAAACCAGAAATGCATGTTAGAAGAAACTATGCAAATTACAAGATAGGTAACCCTGGATAACATTATACTCAGTGAAATACCTCAGTCACAAAATGGCAAATACTGAATAAAAGCACTATTATAAAGCAAGACTGACATAGGAGGTTGGGAGGAGAATAGAAAAAGAGTGGATAGATAATGAACATTACATTGGAACAGGTGAAGGAAAGGTTTAAAAGGAAGATATTATTAGGTATTATATTTATGACAACAGTACAGAATAACAGGTACCTTGCAAAGAGGACTGGGGGAGGGGGAAAAAGAGAGGGTAGGAAATTGTTCAACAATGAATGACTATTAGAAAAAAAATAAAGTGAACCGTTGGGGAGAGGGAGGAAAAAAGCAGAGGGGCAGGGAGAAAAACATGCAACAATGAATTAATGAAAATTTAACTTCTCTCTCTCTCATCTATTTAAATGCAGTGTTTATTATTTATCCCCTCTTTTTTTAGTTTCCCCCCAACTCTCATGTGAGACCTGTTTTGTAACAGTGCCATTATGCAGTATTTGTCCTTTTGGTTTTTTGTTTTGTTTTTTTTTTGTTCAGAGTCCTTGTTTTATTTTCATTTGATCACACACACATTTTTTTTTTAAAAAACCCCACACACAACTCACAAAATATACAAACACGGAAACTAAAAGAGTATAAAAGAAGGGGCTCACTTCAATCATGGCTGAAAAAATATCCTAGGCTTCAGGGGGGAGAAAAAAATACCAATCAACTACTGAAAATTATTTTGTTCAAAACATAAAAATGTTTTAAGTTGAGATTTGGTGGGCTTTTTTGTTTTGATATTATCAAATATTTTTTTAAAAAAAGACTTAGGGACAAGAACTAAGCTCCTGTGCTGCCTCAGGTAGGTTTGGGCTTCTCCGTGAAAGCCTTTGGGAAATGCAGAGGGCAGCATTCCCACCCTGCCCGCCATCTGCAAATGCAGCCACCCTGGCCCACTCAGAACACAATAGGCAGAGACTACAGAGCATCGAGGATGTGGTTGATCTTAGTGACCAGCTCCTGCCGTTTTCCTGAGATGAGCTTCTCATTCTCAATGTACGTATCTTTCTTGAGTTTGCCTGCCACCAGCTGCTCAGCTTCTACCGCTGACTTCAGCACCAGTTCCTTGACCTGGGCATCCAGCTTCTGCATTTCACTCACTTTGTCAAAGAGGTCAGAGCCCTCTGTCTTCAGCCTGGACTGCAGCAATGTGATTTCACTGGTCAAGGCTTTGTGTTCTGTCTCCAGGCTCTTCTTGCCGCTGTTGAGAGTGGAGATATCCCGAGATTGCTTGTACCTATTAACAGTCTCATCAAAGTGGCGGTAGAGACCTAATCTCTTGTTGACCAAGGTCAGGACCTGCTCTGTGATACAGGCCACTTTCATCCTGGCTTCAGCAGCAGGATCCTTTGTGATGGAAAAATCCAGCCTGACATAGATGATGACGGTGAAGAACAAGATGTAGAAAGTAGCCACCACCAACAGTGGCTCCTGCAGCATGAGGACCTTGTTGAATGTGTAGTGAACCACAATGTCCTGAATGTACTGTTCTACCAAATTTTTCTTGTACGCAACAATCACAGGACGACCAGATGTGTCTAGGTAGGTATAATGCAGCTCATCCAGGGTCCGGCTGATTTCATAGGGACTATCAATCTGGATGTTCTTGGCCCCTTCAGGCAAGATGATCTTCACTGTTAGGGAATCTATCACTTGCTCATCAAACACGTGATCCACAAACCTCATCTTCAGTGCATACTGGTCACCTAAATTATACAGGTACTCATAGCTTGAAAGGTTGTAGCCAACGATGTAATGAGTTTTCCAGCCACCAAAGAGAGGGAAGCGAGGTCGGATTTCCATCTCTACTGAGTCATCCAAAATGAGGAGGTGGCTAGTGGAAACATTGCCAATCTCATCTCGGTAATAAACATCCTGGGCAGCAGCAGGGAGAATGGTCTTAAACGAACGGATGGAGGATATCCCACTATCTGGCTGTCTCTGGTAATCATAGCGTGAAAAGGGCCCTTTAAGCACAGCACCTGTGTGCTTCAAGTCCACATTTTCTTCTACAGCAATGTTACCCCAATGAGAAACTTCAATGACAC